GTCCGTTCTGCACACACAGCATGTGTTCAGGAGCTGACGGAGAACAGACACAAGGTCAGACATGTCACTCATCACCATGACGACGTGTCTAACATTTATTCTGAGGCTAACAAAAACATAGGAACTGCTTTGATTGTTGTGTGCGTGTGTATGTGAGCTGAGTGTGACGTACCGATTCTGACCAGGTAAAACAGGACATATCCTGGAGACGAGTAGTGACTGCCGTACATGAAGGGGGGGTCGGGCATCCCTCTGTACCGAGACTGTGTGCGCGCGCCCCCACACACACACACACACACACACACACACACACACACACACACACACACACACACACACACACACACACACACACACACACACACACACACACACTTTAAATGTCTTTCATAAGTCTTTAAAGAGTTCTTTATGATGTGAACTCATGGTGTGTCACTGACCAGCAGTCTGTCCAGCCTCTCCTGGTTCAGCGCTCCCACCGGTCTGCTCAGGTCTCTGAACGTGGCCGGCTTCGTCAGGTCTGAGAAACACAACAAGACGTGAGGACTGTTAATGACAGTCTGTGTGCATCTGTGTGTGTCTCTGTGTGTGTCTGAGTGTCTCTGAGTGTTTCTGTGTGTCTCTGAGTGTCTCTGTGTGTTTCAGTGTGTCTCTGAGTTTGTGTTTCTGTGTTTCTCTGAGTGTCTCTGTGTGTCTCGGAGTGTCTCTGAGTGTCTCTGTGTGTGTGTCTCTGTGTGTCTCTGTGTGTGTGTTTCTGTGTGTCTCTGTGTGTCTCTGTGTGTGTTTTCTGTGTGTCTCTGTGTGTGTTTTCTGTGTGTCTCTGTGTGTCTCTGTGAGTGTGATTCTGAGTGTGTGTTTCTGTGTGTGTGTGTCTCACCGAGCTGTTTGCTGCTGTAGTCTTCGAGGACCCAGGGGAAGACGGGGTACTGGGAGAGGTCGTTGCAGCTGCGGTCAGCAAGGTTGTTCAGGTGTAGTAGGTACTCGTAGTTACTCAGGTGACCTCGCTGCCACTGCAGCATGTAGCTCTCTGCGGTGTGCTCCGTCACATGGTTCTCTGAGGACACACACACACACACTGCTGTCAGACATGTTTCTGACCCAGAGAGGTCTCTGCATGTTCCTCTCCTGAATTAAAATAAAAGACTCATTCCACATGTTAGGAAATAATCCTCACCCAGGAAGGTGGCGATGTAGTAGTAGATCTCGTCTCTGTCGGCCGTGTTGTAACACTTCAGGTAGATGTCGGAGCAGAAATCGTTCTCAGAGCAGAAAACTTCCAGACCCTGAGAGAGGAGAGACACACACACACACACACACACACACACACACACACACACACACACACACACACACACACACACACACACACACACACACACACACACACACACACACACACACACACACACACACACACACACACACACACACACACACACACACTATGACCTCTGAAAATGTTCTCTCATTATGACCTCTGACCTTTCATATGACCTCTGACCTCTCACATTATGACCTCTGACCTCTCACATTATGACCTCTGACCTCTGTAAATGCAGCTTCATGAACTCACCAGAGGTCTGAGTCCGTGTCGTCGTTTGTAGATTCTTTTCACTCCGTGCAGTTTGATTTGAATCACTTGTTCCTGAAATCAAAAATTAGACAACAGAGATAGAAAGATAGCGATGACCTCAAAGGTATTTATCTTATTTAAAGTTTAACCAATAAGAACGTGACTGAGGTTCAGCAACGTTACTGACAAAAACACAAACACAGATCAACATGTTGTTTATCTGCAGCAACAGAAAATCAAGATTTCTCTGTGAAATAAACAGACGGCGCAGCTTCAACCTCTTCACCAGCTGCTGAATAAGAGGCTTAAAGACGATGAGACATCGATGAAGAGTCTGAGACCTTTATAAGAAGATACAGACTGGATCCCCCTGAGGCCAAACAAGAGGACTTAAAGTCTGACCCGGATTAAACCCTCAGAGAGTCTGAGGCTGTGTAGGAGCAGAGCAGTAAAGAAGAGTATCATCAGCATATAGAGATCATTCACAGATGGTCAGCTGATCTGAATATCTCACCGGGTATCCATTGAGCGGTTGGAAGTAAAGGTTCTGGTCCGTGATGCAGATGTGACCCGGGTTGGAGACCAGAGGAGTGACTCTTTCCACGGCACACTCCATGTGAGGTTTCTCTGCCACACTCTGAAAACTAGGAGAGAAAACATTAGAGACGTCACAGCGGGCGGGATGTGGATCAAAGATCTTCCATTAGATGTCAACAACGTACCAGTTTTTATCAAAGGAGGACCTCGCCAGGCGCGACTGCAGATTAGCAGCGATCTGAAACATTTAGAAGGAAGAGATGTGAACATAGAGGATCATTACCGAGCGTTAACGAGACAAATGAAACCTTTAGACTGACCCACCATGGCGGTCTGGTCTCCCAGTTTGTCCAGACAGGACGCTCTGTGGAGCTGCAACATTCAGACAAACACACCAACATGAACACACCTGTCAATGAATCCAGCAAACGCCAAAAAGTCACGAGTTCCTGAGTCAAGAGATCAAGAGGTCAACCGCTCAGGTGCTACCACTCTGAGGGACAAAAGACTTCATACCTGCAGTAAGGTTTGGACCACGTCCTCGGTCTTACTGCACTCCTCCAGCTGAAAACAGACCCGCTTCTCTCCCTAAAGGAAGTGAAGAGAACATAAAGAGCAGCACAGAATCAGACATGTTGAGCTAACATCACGTTAACACAGTCCAGTCTCCGCTAACAAAGAACAGAACTCACCCTCTCATTTCTGTACGGAGCGATCACGTTACTCTCTTTGATGAAAATCAACTGAAAGCCAAAATAATAGCAGACAAGACGGATCAGATTACATACAGTCATTACAATACAACTTATAGAGAAGACCAGACGAGAGGGGTCGAGAGGAAACGAGACAAACGAGTCAAGACAAGACGAGACGAGACAGGACGAAAGATTCGTCCCAAGCTGAGACGATGAGTGGAGGTAAACTTTTATGAACAGAAACAGCTCACAGAAATGTCTGAGAGCGCTGTGACTAGAGGCCAGTAGGACGGCGCCACCTACAGGAACACAGGAGGACTGATGCTACAGACTCACCTGCACACAGGAGATAAAGATGGAGGACGGCCGAGGACTGTGAGGGAAACACACACAAATATTACTGTCAGCTTCACATCACACACACCGTTTAATCATGAAATATAACTTACACAGAGCACAGAGCAGAAATACAGAGAGAGTCTGTTTACACTGAGAAGTCACAAAACAGGTTACTAAACACACACACACACACAAACACACAGACACACACACAAACAGAGACACAGACAGACAGACAGACAGACAGACAGACAGACAGACAGACAGACAGACACACACACACACACACACACACACACACACACACACACACACACACACACACACACACACACACACACACACACACACACACACACACACACACACACACACACACACACACACACACACACACACACACACACACACACACACACACACACACACACACACACTCACTCACTCACTCACTCACTCACTCACTCGTTGAACGGGTTGCTCTCTCTCTCCTCAAACTGGATTCGCTGACAGTCTCTGAGAGGAATCTGTGAAAACACGTCACGTTAGCTTACAGTGTTCTCATTCTGTCTTTACCACAAACACACTAAGATAATATTTATAATTATTAAAACATCAGGGCTGTCAGAGTAAACACTTTAATCTCATGTTTTGTCCCTTCAGGCTGGTCCTCAGTGTCTCCCTGTAGTCTCAGCTGACGAGTCCAAAGTAATAACCACCTTATGACATCACACATTGACCTGTTGACATCTCATATTGTGACCTTATGACATCACACATTGACCTTTGTTACCATTCCTTTGAGCTGTTTGACCTCACTTTGGGATCCCAACCACTTCCTGTTTCTGGGCTTAACTTCCTGTCCTAACCTTCTATCTACAGGAAGGGCCTTACTTTATTTCAAAATAAAAGCACACAGCAAGTAAAGTACTTTCAGCTTAAAACAGGACAAACCTTCAGAATAAAAGCCTAACTGTTTTCATTTTTAAATGAGAAATAAAGGAATTTTAAACAAGTGATTAAAAATTTGTTCGTTTGACTGCAAGTATTAAACAAAATCAAATGTAGCTAATATCTTGACCCATGGAGATCTCTGAGTGTGTGAAGCTCAGTGTAAAGAGAAAGATTAAATATATTAAATCATGAAATCAAACCTTTATGATCGGTTCAGTGAGGCCATCGGGATCAAAGATGATCGATCTGGAACACACTTTCAACGAGCCTCGCACTTTTCTGGAAGGGCAAAAAAAGAGCTGATGTTAGCTTGTTAGCTAAAAATGTTGATGTTAGCTCGTTAGCCAAAACCGTTGATGTTAGCTCGTTAGCTAAAAACATTGACAACGGTGCACTGCCTGAGCACATTCTCAGGTTGCAGGAATATACCATGATAAATAAATCAAAAGTCCTTAACACTGAAAAGAACTTGACTATATTTTATTTTACTATATTTTCTATATTTTTGGGGCGGCAGTAGCTCAGTCTGTAGGGACTAGGGTTGGGAACTGGAGGGTCACGGTTCAAGTCCCTTATGAAGTCCCCTCATGGGGTCCCTCATGTGGTCCCCAGTGAACAGACAGGTGTCCTGACCAGGAGGAGGAGGAGGAGGAGGAGGAGTGATGTTACAGTGATGTCACTAAATGATGCGAGCTGATTGGTCTCAGTTACCTGTCCTTCTTTGAACAGGTGATCACAAAGTAGGCGGTGTGCTGCTCAAAGTAATACTCCTCCAGGTCCAACAACAGGAGAGAAAACCTGAGAGAGGAACACAACAGAGGTCAGAGGTCAGCTCAAACATCCAAACATTATATTCATGTCTGTCTTTGTTAGAGAGGACGGCTGAAGAGAGATTGGAAACTTGGGGAGGAGGAGGGGGCGTCATGCAATATCTCCGCTAGGCTATACAGCGCCCCGAAGATTCATAAAAAAGATAATAAACAGTGTCAACCTCTCCATGGATGTTTTACCATTTCATTTGGTCATTTCATTTGTACAGAGACACGTACGGAGCAAGCAAACCGTTTCCATGCTCCACATCTGAGTGTGGAAAAAAGAGGTGCCAGGTCGCTCAACCCACACCCCCACCAGCTCAGGAAGGCCCACTGTGGGCAGCCCCCTCACTCTGATATCTCTCTGATACTGTATGTCCACAGGTTCCAGTTTTTCATGTGTGCATCATGTCTCTAAAACAGAGTGTTGAAGTGAATTCCCCCTCACGGGGTTAATAGAGTGTTTCTTCTGTTGGTTTCTTTCACCTTGTTGGTTGTGGACAGAATGAGACCTCTGCAGAAAGCATCAGCATGTTTTAAAACCTCCTGACATGTTAAAAGTCATGTGTTAATCCTGAAAATGGTCAACAACAACAACCCATCTGATGGTAGCAGGCAGAGCCTCACCGTTAGACAGTTTACCCACACGACTGAGATCATCACCTCACAGCTGATCATCCTGCAGAGCTGAACCTTCAGACCACACCGAGCAGAATCACTTTAAAGCTTTTAACATCAAGTATTTATAGAGAACTTATTCCACAAGATCCATCCCATCATCACAGACAGGATATATTACACTGAAAACTGGTCTACAGGACTCTGGTTCTGATCCAGGTTTCTGTCTTGTAGGTCTTTCCCTGCTCTGTTTGTAAACATTTGTTAAGAATAAGATAAATACAAATAAAGACTGATTGACTGATAGATAGGTAAACACACAGTAACAATAACAATAACACAGTGTGCTCGGAACCGGACCCCCCCCCCCATCCCTCCACTCGCTGTCGCTGTCTCGCTGTCTGTCTCGCTGTCTGTCTCGCTGTCTCTCTCTCGCTCTCTCTCTCTCTCTCTCTCTCTCTCGCTCTCTCTCTCTCTCTCTCTCTCTCTCTCGCTCTCTCGCTCTCTCTCGCTCTCTCTCTCTCGCTCTCTCGCTCGCTCTCTCGCTCTCTCTCCTTAGCGGACAGCCGGGCTAAAACCAGCCGCCTTGTGCGCCTCACAGCTCGGCCTGCCTCGTCGCACTGCCCCGGTGTGTTCCGGTAAAGCGTTACAGTCCGGTGAACGTGTCTCACCTCTCTTTGGTCCGCTCTCTGCTCTTTAAAAAGGCCATGACCGAGCACCATCCTCCTCTGACACCGAGCACATCTCTGTCAACACGGAAACCTTTGGGACACCACGTGATTCACGATCCACCGACTAAACTGTGTGAAGAGCGCTCACTCAGACTCGATTTCAGGGTACCAACACGACGAAGATATTTCAGTTAGCGGAAATAGAATGTAAGAAGAAAATAAAGTCATCAATAATGTTATTAAGTCTTTGTCAGAACACATACTCAGGGACAGTTTCTTTGTGTTTTGCGATTAGTTCTCGTTGTCCGTGTTTTGTATTTGAATGTTATTTTAATAGTGTAAAGTTTAAAGTTGTTGTATTTCCCAATAGATACACTGGCACTTTAATTGTGAATATAAATAAAACAAGAATGTATAATCGTGATTAATCCCATGTTTGAAACTCCATTATGTCTCATTTAAAAAAGAAAAATGTGTCCACAAAGTGACATTGATTTCAGATCGTAAAGTCTGAATGTTGAAACAACAGCAGCAAACAGCGGGGACGCTGCGAAGAAGATCTTCTGTGAAATGTGACTGTTAAAAGTTATATTTGAGCAAAAACTTGATGTACAACACGTGAATTAATAAAAAGTATGTTAATATTAACAAAACCTATTTTGCCACCCATGTGATTCTGAAGTCAAGTTGGGAAGTCGGGCAGCTCATTCTTTACAAAGATTCCGACTTGTTGTTCCGACTTGAGCAGGTGCTCATGAACATTTTACAATATGCACCATGAAGCCTAGAAACAGGAAGTGGTTAGGGATCCCAAAGTGAGGTCAAACAACTGAAAGGAACGGTAACATAGGTCAATGTGTGATGTCATAAGGTCAATGTGTGATGTCATAAGGTGGATATTACTTTGGACTCGTCAGCTGAGCTGTCTGAGAGTTTGTTAAAGTGAAATGAGACATTCAAAGATGCAGCAGTGTCCTTCTTTTACATCACTGAGACTACAGGGAGACACTGAGGACCACTATCTACAGAGAGCCTGAAGGGACAAACATAAGGTTAATGTGTTTACTCTGGCAGCCCTGATGAAAACCAACAAACCAAACCAGCATTAAAACTAATATAAATCAAACTTTTAAAAGTCAAATCTAAATTAAATAAAATATTCTAAATTGTGTTTTATAAGGAGTCCCAAACAGTGAAACATTTTACAATTCAATTATTATTTTGTGCGCTCGGGATGTATTTACTTTAATTTTTGGTGCTTCGGGGGCTATTATTCTAATCTTAACGCGGGAGTTAATTGTCACTTGTTGGCACCATGGACTGTAAGGTTGGCACCATGCAGGTTAAGTATCACGTTACAGAATCGTCCCGCAGATCGTGAGAAAAGGCTCCAGTGAATCCTCTTCGTCTGCATAGACGATCTTTGTTCCAGCGTCTTGACGCGTCATCAGTGAGGGAAGTTTCCGATCTTGAAGAAAGTGTAGTTTAAAGAGAGAAAGGCTGATGAATGTAGTTTTAATGAACGTGAGGAGTGATGCGTGAGCTGCGGGGAGGCTTCGGGGAGGCTGCGGGTCATGATGCCGTGGAGGAGACACTCAGTCGGGCTCGTCTTCAGCTGCGTCTTCGTCGTTTCTTTTTTCACCAATAAGGTGAGTGTGTCCCAAAGGTGTGTCCGGATGACTCTACTTTAAACAAGAACACTATTGAAATTAAAGTTCATAAAGATAAACTTTGTGACGTCACTCTGCAGATTAAACACAAACTGTAAGTTTCTGTGAGGCTCCGTTTCTCTGAGCCGAGCAGGAGACGAGCACAACATTGAGATCAAACCCTCATTTAACCATCATCATCTTCATCACCATCAGTAGCCTGACCGTTTTATGAGCACGATTTAAAGCCGTATCGAATCGATGCATTTGTCGGCCGTGACCTGATGGTGCATTCATGTGGTGTCAGACACAAGGGAAAAACGAGTTTCTGGTTGTAAAATGTTCATGAACACCAGCTTGAGTCGGAAACTCTTAAAAAATGAGGTGCCCGACTTGGGGACTTAACGTCACCTTTGTCATCACATGGCGGGCAGAAGATATTTTGCTAATGTTAACATACTTTTTATTATTTCACGTATTGCTCATAAACTTTTAACAGAGACATTCACACGTCTTCTTCTTCGTAGCGTCCATACTGTTTGTTGTTAAAACATTCAGACTTTACGATCTGAAAACACAAGAACAAACTGAAGACAGAAGAAGGTCTGAGGTCGTGGACTGTAGGGGGGTTGGTCTGAGGTCGTGGACTGTAGGGGGGTTAGTCTGAGGTCGTGGACTGTAGGAGGGTTAGTCTGAGGTCGTGGACTGTAGGAGGGTTAGTCTGAGGTCGTGGACTGTAGGAGGGTTAGTCTGAGGTCGTGGACTGTAGGGGGGTTAGTCTGAGGTCGTGGACTGTAGACTGTAGGAGGGTTGGTCTGAGACCACAGACTTTAGGGGGGTTGGTCTGAGGTCGTGGACTGTAGGAGGGTTAGTCTGAGGTCGTGGACTGTAGGGGGGTTAGTCTGAGGTCGTGGACTGTAGACTGTAGGAGGGTTGGTCTGAGACCACAGACTTTAGGGGGGTTGGTCTGAGGTCGTGGACTTTGATGTTTTTGACTTGGTTCTTTTTTTTTTTTCAGTTTGTTCTCTCCGTGTTAAACTTCACGTTTCCGACTTTGTTCCAAGGGTGAGTCCAAACACAAAGTGCACGAGTGAAGAGGAAACAAGTCTTTATGATAAAAATATAAATATAAACATGATAAATATATATATATATTATAAATACATGTATATTTATGAACACTGGGAGGAGTCATGGCATGGGCATGGGTGGCATGGGCCCCCCCTTAAAATCTGGATTTTGGATTTTGGAAAATCCAAACCTATGATTGGCTATTTGCCTATAGAGGCGGGGCTTGAGTTCAAATCATTCTGAGGTGGTTTTCTTGATGAGTGAGGGTAAGAATTATTTTATTGTTTTTATTTTCAGTTGTAAATAAATATTTTTCATTCTTTGTTTTAACATAAACCCGTCCACACGGTCTGACTTGTGATGGACTTATTTAATAATAAATGTTTTCAAATCAGACAGTGTTCACGAGTTTGTGTAGATTTTTACTTCTCAGTTTTTAATTTCTTAAAGGTTCAAACTGAACGTGGACACCTGAGTCAGAACAGTTTGTTAACACGGCAATAGGAAGTAAAAGGTCCATGCTCCTGATGTTTAAGTGATTGTTGCTAATGATCAAACATGGCGGGTAAAGTCTTCATGCCGTGTTCCCCCGTTTCAGGGTCAGGACCTCTGCATCCCATCATTCAATTTTTACATTATTATTTTATTATTTTTTATATTATTATTTAATTATATTATATTTATTATTTAATTATATTATTATATTATTATTTTATTATATTATTATTTTATTATATTATTATTTTATTTGTTTTAAATAAATCAAAGAGAAAACGTTGAGGAGCTTTACTCGGCCTGGTATGAAGCTCTCGATTTCGCTCTTTCACAAACTGAACATTAAAGTCAATCAATGAAACACGGTGAGTCTCTAACGTGGTCGTGATGAATCTCTCCAGATGGCAGACGTTGATCGGCGCCATCCTGCTGCTGCTCTCTGGGAGACTGGGCATGGTGGAGATGAGTCGCATCACCAGGTACGGTCAGAGTCCCTCTGCAGCCGTGGTGTATATTCATGAAGGAGTGAGCGTTCAGTTCTGATGTTGTGTTGCAGGTCAGCAGCTCTGTCGTGGCTCCCAGGCGCTCTCCTGTTTGTAGGAAACATCTACGCTGGCTCCCGGGCCTTAGCACGCTTAGTACGTATCCCTCCGCCTCCTCACCAGCTCTCTCTTCAGGACGATCTGCAGCTTTCACTCTGTCTCTCTCTCTGCAGGATATTCCTCTTTTCTTCACGCTGCAGAACTCGTCTCACGTCGTCAGTTTACTCATCCTGAAGGTCATCCACAGAGAGGTGAGCATGTGTGTGTGCGTCTGTGTGTGTTTGTCTGTGAGCGTCTGTGTGTGTGTGCGTGTGTGTGTGTTGTTATTTTGTCTGTCAGGTTTTGTCACGTCTAGAAAATGTTTCAAAGTGTTTGTTGTTCAATTTTCATCTTGATCATGTCCTCAGAAACAAATGAATTTATTATTTATGATGATTTGATATATTTATATTCTCGCTCTGTTCTACAAAGTGTTAAGATGTTAACGGTCATGTGACGCAGCAGCTGGAACTCTGATCACCTGTTCTGTTTCTTTTCTTGGACAGAGGGTGCAGAGGCTGAAACTCTTCAGGTTTGTGATTTCTTCTCTTTGTTAAGATGATGAATATTAAAGATGATCTACATCTGTGACATGTTGAGAATGTAAAACCACAGTCTGTGCAGGAGAGTTCAGCTGGTAGTATCGCTGCTGCTAACCAAAACTCTCCACATTCAGACTGGGAGACACGTCACAGCGGTGGAAATATGGCGGCTTGAAACAGCGGTCTAAACAGGGTTTGCAATGTGGGAGCCTCATTGGTCAACACAGCCATCAATCATGGTGTTTAATAACATTTTATATAATTAAATAAAGACTTGAACTCTAAATGGCGTGATTATAACCATCATGGAGAAACCTCTGATGAGTGTTTTGATTTTATAGTTTGACCCGTCTCATCTGTCAACATGGAGGAGGCGGAGCTTATGACCTGTACTGCATTCAGTCAGCAGGGGGAGCTCTGAATGTTTTTTGCTTTGTGAGCAGACTTTGACATCTGTCTCCATTTCCTCTCCCAGCCTGCAGCTCATTGGCTAACGATTAAAAAGTTCAACAAATGACGAGTGTTTATAAAAGTGGTTAGTGAGAAATGTCCATGACGAGGCCTTTGATCTTCTTGCAGTGTTTGCCTCATGCTGCTGTCAGCCATCAACCTGCCTCAATATGATCCTCAGGTAACTCTTCACATCTGAGGTCCATAACTACCATTTCACTGTTTCTATATCACATGTGTTCACTCAAACACGATCTGCTCTCTCACAGTTTGACTCCAGAGGTTACCTGTGGGCCGTCGCTCACCTGTTCTGTGTTGGTGAGTCTCCGCTTCTAAACAGACGATTCACCTTTATCTGAGTAAGCTCAGGAGCTACTGAAGCCTCCTGCGATCCTCCTGACCTGTTCACACATACACCTCACAGCGGGAGACTATCCCTGTCAGACAGGCAGGGGGCGGAGTCTCTTGAGGGAAGACGTGAAGAAAGATGTGGAAGTGGCGTACAAAGCCACAGAGTCATCTATACAACGCTGTAATGAGAATGTGTGTCTTTCTAAGAATCTCAATGTGAACTACAGAGTGGAGAAGAACATACTGGAGAACAGGAAACATGCAGCAGCAGGTTCATTAGAGCACAGAGATGGTAGAGGTGGTGTGCAGACAGTCTATGGTCGTGCAGCGATCACAGGAAATAAAGGTCACCACCCCCTCCCACTGGCTCCAGGTGAATTCTCCTGATTATATCCTGCTGTGTTCTCACATCAGATCACTCTGACTTTCTGCAGAAATACCAGGAGGCTGGAGGAGAAACTCTGCATTAAGTGTGAAAACACAGTTAACAAGAATATCAGAGGCTCGAGGACTGAGCCTTGAGGAACTGAAGTAACTCAGTAACTGAAAAGTCTTTAACTAGTCTTCATCAGAAACTGTTTTTTCCCCTAAAAAAAACAGTAAAGACTTGATTTATTGTGGAGGAGTCTTAATGAGTCGTTCTAAAATGTAAGAGATTAATGTCTTTTATTTTTGAAGGTGCATACAGAGTGTTCCAGGTTCACTACAGACCAGGTAACCTAAGGTAAATATCGCCCTGCTCATCAAAGTGGACTTTTTCTCCTCTAACATAAAGTATGTCAAAGTGTTTCTGTTTTCATTACAGTGACCTTGAGCGGCAGGTCATCAACTACCTGTTCAGGTGAGGAAACATCACCCTAAATCACTCTGATAAATACAAACACACAGGGTCAGAGGTCATCAGCTACCTGTTCAGGTGAGGATAACTCCAACTGCATCGTGGTATTGAAAAGTCTCTTGCTTGTGATGAACTTTGAACATGTCGGGATGTTTTTAGCTCATCGATAATTAAACCATCAGAGACTCATTTCTGTTCTTCCTGCTTTTCTGACAGCGTGCTGCTGCTGGCTGTCGCTGCTCACCCGACAGGTACGAAGAGCGTGATTTTAAGTTTCAACAACAGTTTATCCCTCACTCACATCACTCTGTGTCAGAGACCTTCACCTGCTGAGTTCTTTGATCCCTCAGATCCTTAATGCTCCAGGTGTGTTTGTCTCTGCAGGTGACCTCATGGGGGCGCTGGAATTCCCCTCGCTGCAGTCTCACACGTTTCACTGTGGCTGCTGTGCCAGGTGAGAGAGCCTTCAGTCTGTTAAAGCAAAGCTGCTACTGTAGGAAACCATATTTATAAAGTGTATAATATTAAGTTTATAAAAGGGGCACTCTTTAGGGGGCAGACAGTCTCTGTAAACCCGTGGGATGGTTTTCAAACATGGAGGCTGCAGATTCAGAATCATCTGTTATGAAGTGGTTATTATCTGTAAGCTTCCAAATGTGTTCTGAAATAATTGAAACTGCATCTGAAATAAAGCACGGCTCTGTCGCAGAGCGCCGTCTATAGCTTTGGATTGGAGCAGCAGATTCACGTGTGCTGAATCTCATTGGACAAAGAAACGTCCGTCATTAGCACAGCGGCAAGCAATTGGCCTGGTGTAAAGACGTCAGAATAAGGTGGACACGGAGCGTTACACATGGCTTGCCACAGGACTTGGGAACGGGCCGGCCGACGCATCTCTGACAACCCTAACCCACTACAATCCAGTGTTTACTGACGTGATCACAGACTAAGAAAGATGAACATCATGTGTTTACTGGCTCCAGTTTAAAGGGCTGTGATTGGTCGACATGAATCAGCTGGCGGCGCTGACGCTTCAGAGAGCGTGATGTTTCAGCTCCTCCTCTTCATCAGTCAGATGTTTTCATGTTGTACATGAACTCTAATAACCTGATGTTATCATTCTCCTCATAGCTCGTAGTGTTTCTCTTCACAGCGCTCTGCTCGGCTTCCTGTTGCTGTTGGCAACCGTCAAACTCAAAAGTGGATTGTCAGTGGAACACGCCGGGGTCTGGATCTTTCTGTCCAAGGTGATGATCAAGCCATTCAGAGACCAGATGTTTAAACTTTGAGATGTCAACAGCTGTTTGTTACCTCGGCAACAAAAACAGAAGAACTAGACAATGTTAGATAATTTATTATTTTAAAGATTGCAGGTAAACTCCTGCACACAAAAACATCTTGCGTGAAAGAGGGCGGAGCTATGGCGGAGCTGGAGAGGAGCAAGGGTTTGAGTAATAACTGTTCTCCTTCTCTTCCCCCCCAGGTTTCTGCCGTGTGTCTCTCTCCGTTTATCTTCCACATGGACGTCAACACTCCGTCTCTGATCTGGTGCGTGTCTCTCCCGTTTGTTTTATATCTTGATGATGTCATTGGTTAACACGTATTGTCCTGTGTGTTGGCAGTGTGCTCGTCAGTCACATGGGAGGAGCTCTGCTGCTTTATTCTGATGCAGACTCTCAGACCAGATGACCAACCTGCAGCTCGCCCCTGCCCCCCCTCAAGAGATTCTTTCTACTAAAGCTTTATTTTGTGATAATCTGCTTACCAAATAAACGTTGTGAACGTCGTCTCATGCTCGGTGTGTTTCTTAAAGAACAGACATCGCTGGTCATTCACGTTCACTTTTATTGATCCACAAACGTCTCCTTCTTCTTCTTGACCTCTAAAAGCAGCGTGAGCACTGAGCCTTCAAACCCTCTGTGCATCAGACCCACAGGTCTAACCTTGGTGTCACCTTGACTTCAGTCCTACAGAGAGAAGCTGTTGTCGCTGTCCTGATGGCTCCTCTTCGGGGAGAATAAAGCGTTGAACGGTTGTCTCCTCCGAGTGCGAGCCTCAGGTTTCTTCTCCTCGTGGACGTACCCTGCAGTCAGAATATTACAATGTTTCAATACACTCAGCAGACACTTTTATCCAAAGCGACGTACATCAGAGAGTAAGTACAACACTAACCCATTCATACACCACCACTGAGGCAGTGGGAGCAATGCGGGGTTAAGCGTCTTGCCCAAGGACACGTCAGACATGTTGCTCAGCTGGGGATCGAACCCTTGACCTTCCAGTTGAGAGGCAACGACTCTACCAACTGAGCCACAGCTGCCCATATTACTCATATTGTCAATCATATTCATACCTTTGATTAATTAAACCTGTCAATACTAATTAGATGTAAAGAGGAGAAATCGCTGAGTCACCTCGGTCAATGCACGTTTGAGTAGATGGGAATCCGACTTCCCAGAAGTTTTCTGGAGTACACGGGGGGATGTACAGGAAGCGGTGCCGGGAACACGAAGACAGCTTCTTCTGCTTCTCGTCCTCCGGGAGGTGAGCGTAGTACTGTGTGGAAACATCAGATGTCATACCACCAGTGATAATAAAAACACGTCTGTGAAAGTGGGCGGAGAGATCACTTACTACTTCACATTCTTTACAGGTGGCGCCCTTCAGCTTCCTCCTCTCGTCCTTCTTACGGATCACAGCGACGTGAGCGAACGTGGGGCGGCTGCTTCAGAGACATCGAGGGACATTATGAAGATCATCAGAACAAAACATCTCTCTGCAAAGTGTGAAATCACTCAGACAGGACGAGAGTCTCTTACTTCACTTTGTTCCCCTTCATCTGACTCACGCAGGTCTCGTCAGGATCTGATGAGAGATTCAAAACAAATTTTAAAAAGACACGCAGACAAAAGATCTGCACATCAGGAGAGGAAAGACTAAGACATGAAGTCAAACACTAAAAATCACACCATCATCATCCTCCTCCTTGTCTCCTCCTGCTGCTTCGTCCCCGTCGTCCTCACGCGGCTGGCTCGGACCTGAGCGGGAGGTGTTGAAGGATCGGTACTCTCCGTAAGCTGTCGTGTCAAACATCATGTCCAGACTGTCGTTGGCCTTCTCCCCCAGTCCTTCAAAACACAGACGGATCAAAGTGTCACTTCTCAGTCATCTTTCTCTAAGAAGTGATTCAGGGGGATTGGCAGGCTGCACACTTTTTAAACAACCCTCACCAGGATGAATGTAAACCTTTAGAGCAGCACAGTTCACGGCTTTGATTCCCATCGTCTAATGTTTAAAAGGTTTTTTGCATTTCTGGTGAGTCCCATCTTAATCGTTGTTTGATCCTTCCAACTGTCCTCGTCATCCTGAACGTTCATTTTTCTCTTCTGTTTGCGGTTTTTAATACACTGCTGACGTAAACCCACCCGCCCCCTAAAGATACAGGGCTGTGATAGAGACGATGGAACACGGGCTCACAGATTGTTTATAGAAGTCAAACTGCATGCTTTAAAAACACTGAAGACTTTGATGAGCAAAACTAAATAAATCAAAACCTGTGACCCGGGTTTCAACGTGGGCCTCTTTGAATCCTCATGTCCTAAGTTTCTTCTTCTCCTCTCTTCTGTCCGTACGACGCTGCTCTCAATGTTTTGAAGATTAAACAATCATCTGATGCTAACGAGTCGTTTGATTCAGACATGTCTCCGTCTAACTGACACCTTTAACGGGCTCCTCGCAGCTAAAAATCATTTAGATGTTTATGAGTTGAAATCATAAAAACGTTGCTCTGATCCACAGGATCTGTGATTGTATTCACCGGACACACTGTCTGCTCCGTCTCGTCTCTGCAGCGCGCTGTGGCTGATCCAGGTGACGTCTGTGTCCGCCAGCTCTGCAGAACCCCCCTCCTCCTCCTCCTCCTCCTCAATCTGAAAGATCAACAGACATCAGGGGTCGTTCACCTTCCTGTCGCTCAGACTTTATCTCAACAATCAGATACTCTGAACGTCTTTTTTTAATCAGCGACTGTGGTTAGTCGTGCATCGGGTCATGTGACTTCACCTCGTCTCCTCTCCCCTCGCTGTCGTACATGGACAGAGCGAGCGCCGGGTCCATGCTCCACATCGGCTCCACTTTGAGTTTCCTATCAGCTGAGAGAGAATAAAGAAGATAAAACTCTTTAAATGCGATGCTCCTGTGAGGCGTTCAGGAGCTGTCAAGTGTTTCCTTTCTCACCAACGACGTCCTTGATGGTGTCTCCTCGAGCGAGTGGCTTCTTAAAAGCAGGACTGACACAGGAAACGTTTGACCTTTGGCCTGAGGTCCTGTTTGGAAGCTGTTGAAGGTTATTGAAGGTCATTATTCAAACAGCATGAGAGACGTGTCATGGAGAGAAAGAGGTGAATTATGTAGGTACCCGGTCTTAAGAACCTGAACCCATCACCTGGCTCCTGCAGCATCGCTCACCTGGCTGCCGTCCTCTGGCTCCTTTTTGATGCTCGGATGACTTAGAGGTGACTCGCTGCGTTTGATTAGCTCAGGTTGTGGTTGTTTTCCTCGTTTTTCCTCGTGCTCACTTCCCTCCTTCTTCCTCTTCGCCTTGTGATCAGAATCGTCCACTGAAAAGCGTTTGAGCCGTGGGAGCAGTGACGGGGATCTGTCCGTGGTTGAGTCTGGACTGTGGATCGATGGGTTTGTTATTTAAAGGTTTTTCAGGGTGGGGGGTGAGCAGCAGGTAAAAATCTAATCAAAGTTTTTCATCGTCTACATACATAAGCAGTAAATGTGCGTCTCCTGAACCAGCCTCTCAGCAGGTCAAAATATCACCACTGATTTCATCCTTACCTCAAATGGACGTCAAACTTCCATGATGGTTTCCAGCTGCTCTGCTGGCCGCGAGTCGTTTCAGTTTTCTGATGAAGAAACAAAGTAACTCAAAGAGAGAACGAGTGTGAAACATGCTGAGGGATTCAACATCAACAGCCTCAAACAGAAAAGCTCCTTCTGTGTTAAAGCCTCTTTAAAACGTCCTTCAGGACCGAGCAGCTTGAATCTTTACAACCTCACCATCACACACACTCTCCTGTTTCCACAAGGTTTTCATTTAATATGAATCTGTGTGAAAATAATCAAAAAGTCTCTAATGACTCAGACGTACCACGAGAGGCTTCTCTACCAGCTCTAGGGCGCACGTTTCTGCGACCTCCACATCTTCATTCACATCATCTGAAACAGAGACAACCGACACATCGTAAATACACGACACATCGTACAGCCATACACACCGTACATCGTACATCCACAACACATCCTACATCCACACACATCATACATCCACGACACATCCTACATCAACATACATCGTACAAACACGTCACATCGTACATACACGACACATCGTACTGTTACGAGCTAGCACCGGCTACACATATACACATATATATATATATATATATATATCCCCTTAGAACAAAAAAACATTTTTTTTTTTTTTTTATGATCCAACTTTTCTTTTTTATCATTTTTATATTAAATGTTTTTTTTCTTAAAACTGAGACATTTGCATGATGTCTACTTTGGAGTTGAGACTGACTATTCATTTTCATTTTAGAATGAAAAATGCACAATCCTAGTAGTCGCATCACTCAACTTCTTCAAGTCTGTACACTACTATTATAACAATGTCAACATCTAAACACTTCCAAAAATACAAAACACACTCAGGCTCTCGACAGGGCGTCGGCTATCACATTTTCTTTACCCGGTAAATGCCGGACTGTCAGGGAAATCAGACTCCACCGGAAAACTCTCTTACTTGAGGTTTTGAACTTTGCAAGAAAAGTAAGTGGATTATGATCTGTCAGAACCTCCAGATCCCCACCCCTACTAGAGACATAAACCTCAAAGTGTTGGACTGCCAGAACAAGAGCTAGGGCCTCCTTCTCTATGGTGGAATAACGCTTTTGATGGCGATTCAGTTTCTTAGAGAAGTAGGCAACAGGCCTGTCTATTCCTGACCCATCAGTCTGCAACAGCACCACCCCCACTCCTACATCACAAGCATCCACAGCCAGCTTGAATGGGGCTGGAAAGTCAGGAGCGACCAGTACTGGCTCACTAGCGAGGATGGCCATCTCCAGAGCCTTTTGACAGTCTACTGACCAACTAAACTTAACCCCCCTTTTTAGCAGGTTAGTAAGTGGTGTCGTCACAGCAGGAAAGTTGGGAACAAAACGACGGTAAAAGCCAGACATACCTAAGAGGCGCATCAGCTGATGTTTAGACTTCGGGGCAGGGAGATCTAAAATGGCTTGCACATTGGCTGTCCTCGGTCTCACTGAACCTTGACCCACCTGATGGCCCAAATATGTGACCTGCCCCTTTCCTATTTCGCATTTTGGTAAGTTGATTACCAGTCCTGCCCCCTCAAGGTGCTCGAACAGCTGTGTAATGTGTTCAATGTGATCAGCCCAGGAAGAACTAAAACAAACAACATCGTCTAAATATGTCACAGTGTTTTTCAGTCCAGAGGTTATTGAGTTCATTAACCTTTGGAACGTTGCTGGCGCATTTTTCATGCCAAAAGGAAGAACCAGACAACGATACAAACACTTGGGCATCACAAACGCAGATACTTCTTTTGCCCGATCTGTCAAGTGCACCTGCCTTTCAATAAGTCAAATTTTGACACGAACTGAGCGCTGCCAATCTTGTCAATGCAGTCTTCCAGTCTCGGTATAGGATATGCATCAGTTTTAGTTACATTATTTACCTTTCGGTAATCAATACAAGGACGAACAGGCAAATCTGGCTTGGGAACAGGGACTAAAGGAGAACTCCACTCACTTGAACCCTGTTCAATCGCACCAATTTCTTCCATATACAGAAGCTCTGGTTTTACCTTAACCCATTTTTGTGGATTAATCCGGTACAGATGTTGCTTAATGGGAGTAGCTCCACCTGTACCCACATCATGGGTAATTAAATTTGTCAGACCAGGGGTATCTTTAAACAGGGGTCTAAAGTGATCCACTAGCTGCAGTACATCTTCTCTCTGGTCTGTGGTGAGATGACTCAGGGACTCGCTGAGATTGGCCAGAGCACTGGAATTCTGAAGCCTAGCTGTGACTGGCTCCACTGACCCAACCTCATCTTCCTCACTCTCATCCTCCTCCACAGCCGTCTGAGACACCAGACACACAGCAGATGGACGAGCATAATATGGCTTCAGAAGATTGACATGACACAGTTGAGATTTCAGTCTTCGATCTGGTGTCTCCACAACATAGTTACACTCACTCACTTTCTTGATGACCTTATAAGGACCATAAAACTTTACCCCCAACTTCTCTCCACCCATGGGCAACAACACTAAGACTTGATCTCCAAGCTTAAAGGAACGGCTCACTGCTCTCTTGTCATACTGAGCCTTCATCTTTCCCTTAGCAGCCTGCAAATTACTCCTGGCCAAGTCACAAGCTGTATGCAACCGGTCCCGAAAAGATGCTACATACTCCAACACACCCCTGGGAGCATCTGTGGGCCCTGCAGATCGCAACAACTGTTCTTTGACCATCTTCAGAGGTCCTCTTACCTGATGTCCATAGACTAGCTCAAAAGGGCTAAAACCTGTAGACTCATTCACAGAGTCTCAGACAGTAAACAATAGAAAAGGCATAGCTACATCCCAGTCACCCAAGTAACTCACAAAATAGGTTTTAATCATGGACTTTAACGTCTGGTGGTATCTCTCAATAGCACCCTGGGACTGGGGATGATAAACTGATGACATAATCTGCCTAGCTCATGCATCACTTCCTGAAAAACACCAGAAGTAAAGTTGGACCCCCGATCATGTTGAACTTCCTGTGGTAAACCAACCCTGGAAAAGAAATGCAAAAGAGCTTCAACTTTTAGATAGATCTTAATAGATCTTAATGGAACAGTTTCAGGAAACCTGGTGGAAGCATCCATAATAGTCAAGAGATATTCATTTCCTTTCTTAGTTTTTGGTAGAGGCCCAACACAATCAATCACTACTCTGGAAAAAGGTTCTTCCATGACAGGTAGAGGACAGAGAGGAGCAACCGGAATAGTTTGATTTGGCTTGCCTGTTACCTGACAAGCGTGACAACTGCGACAATACAAAACGACATCTTTATGCATCCCAGGCCAATAACAATGCCTACTGATTTTCTCTTGTGTTCTCCGAATTCCTAAGTGGCCAGCCATGGATACCTCATGAGCCAAGCGCAGGACTTCTTTCCTAAAACTCTCAGGTAACACAATCTGTGTCATACCTGTCCACAGCTCATCTGCTAGACGGTCACGAGGGCGCCATTTCCTTAACAAAACTCCGTCTTGGATAAAGAAACCTTCAGCTATCCCCTTCAGGTCTTCAGTACTACCAGCCGTTTGTTTCAGAGAAGCTATAGAGGGATCCTTTTCCTGCTCTAACACAAGGGCATCATGAGAAAACCAAGAGCAGGGGGCTACCTCAGCTAACCTAGCGAAAAATGTGCCGGCCAAACCCCCAGAAAAGTCATCATTCTCACTGGAGCTCTTTCTCAACCGCACGGGACTGAGCTTGTGTCACCACACATGCTGTAAACACCTCAGGGTGTTCTCTCTCCAGAGCCAAGGTCTCTGGGACCTCACAGGGTTGCTCACTCACAACCGGTGTTACACAAACACGAGTACCAGCCAAATCATTGCCCAACACAAAAGCCACCCCTTTTATGGGCAGGTTAGATACCACACCTACTTCTACTGGACCATTCACAATGTTGGAAATACTTTATGCAAGGGAGCACTAACAAAACCATCTCCCACACCTTTTACTGGGGTTGATACATTCAAATAGGTTTTGGGGGAAAGACCAAGAACACCTTGCAGCAACAAGGACCGGTTTGCACCTGTGTCCCTCAAGATGTTGACAGGGACACATCAAACATCACTTCCTTTTTCAGGAAGTGAGGCATGAGCTAGGCATTAAGCAGATCATGTCATCAGCTTATCATCCCCAGTCCCAGTCCCACTCAAACCCTTCCGTTATTGGGCTAAACGGCAGGTTAAAACAGCCAATGTCACCAGGAATGGTCTGAATCTGGGCACCAATCAACCCCACAATATTGGCTTCGCCATTTTTCTTTTTAAGACCAAGGCAATTGGACTTCAAATGGCCGGGCCTTTTGCAGTAATGACAGATAATGTCATCCTGGGTACGTGCGACTTGTTGTGCCTCTTCCATGAACCTTGTGGCTGAGAAAAGGTAGGAGCAGACTTTGTCATGACAGCCTCAACAGGTCTGTCAGAAACTCCCTGTCTACCAATTTTTCCTTTCCAAGGCCCATCTCTATGTGTTAACTCATAGGAATCTGCAGCCATAGCAGCTTTCCTCAATAAACTAACTCCCAACTCATTTAGGTGTACCTCCATATGCCGTGGTAAGCTAGTTTTAAACTGTTCGACCAACATCAGTTGTCGCAACTCTTGAAAGTTAAATGTTTTAGTGCTGGCCAGCAAACACAACCTCCTGCTGTCTAGCCAAATCGAGGAAAGTCTCTCCAGGTTTCCTCCGCAGCGATCTGAACGTCTGCCTGTACGCCTCAGGCACCACTTCATCCGCCCCTAAAACCACTTTTCTCACAGACTCATAGTCTCTGCTGTCATTAGCATCCAAGGCGGCATAAGCTTCTTGAGCTTTTCCCTCCAACACACTCTGAACAAGCAGCGCCCACTTATCCTGAGGCCAGTCGAGCTCCATGGCAATTTTCTCAAAAGCTTCAAAGAAAGAACCAACATCATCACGATTAAATCTCGGCATGAGCTTCAGACAGCTTGAAATATGAAAACGACATTGTAAGGCATTATTGTTAGCTTGTAGCTTCTCCTTCTCTAATGCCAACTTCGCTAATTCAAGCTTTTGCTCCTGCTCTCTTGCTTTCACCTTTGCAAATTCAAGTTGAAGCATCCGATCCCTCTCTTCAGCCATTGCCTTCTCCCTTGTCAACTCGAGTTGACGCTCCTGCTCCCTCTCTCTCTCCAGTACAGGATCATGCAAACGCAGCTCTTTAATGAGAGTCTCCACAATCGCTAACTTCTTAGCTTCGGGATCAATTTCCACTTCGAAATGATCAGCAACTGCAAGTAAGCTCACTTTTCTTAGCTTATGCAACTCACTGCGTCCAAAGTCACTGTCATAAAAGTCTTCTACGCTGAAAGTGGTCATGGTTACAGTCAGAAACTTCACAAAAGAAGTAGGCTAAACAAAAACGGGCAAAACCGTAAACCAACTTACCTCTAAGGTAATCAATACAAAATA